ACCTCTAGGAAGAACAGTTTAGAACTGATAGAGCTATCCAGTATAAATAAAGTTAGTTTAGTTTAGGTTTCTTCCTGTAGTAACACTGGATCAATAAGGGGTGACTCTTTTACTGGACCTCTATATAGGGAGAACAGTTTAGGACTGATAGAGCTACCCAGTATAAATATACTTTAGTTTAGTTTAGTTTTCCTCCTGTAGTAACACTGGATCAATAAGAGACGACTCTTTTACTGGGCCTCTATATAGGGAGAACAGTTTAGGACTGATAGAGCTATCCAGTATAAATATACTTTAGTTGAGTTTAGTTTAGTTTAGTTTTCCTCCTGTAGTAACACTGGATCAATAAGAGATGATCCCTACTGGACCTCTATAGGAAGAACAGTTCATTAGTTTAGCTTAGGTTTCCTCCTGTATTAACACTGGATCAATAACAGATGACTCTTACTGGACCTCTAGGAAGGACAATTAAGAATTGATAGAGTTATCCAGTATGAATAAAGTTTGTTTAGTTTAGGTTTCCTCCTGTAGAAACACTGGATCAATAAGAGATGATCCTTACTGGACCTCTAGGGACAACAAAGCCTTGATAAATTTCAACTCTGTTCTCTTCACAGAATCGATTCTCAGCATTAAGTCATCAGCCGGATCCAGAACCTCCCAGTTTCCATGAAAACAGATCACAGCAATCTCGAGATCGGGCACATTCCACAACCAGCCAGCATTCTGTAACACTGGATCAGAAAGTGTATGTCGTGATAACATGTACTAAACTTACAGAGAGATGATTAAAATCGAGTAAACACTTTTCAAAATGTTTACCGTTTTGGGAGTTATTGTCGATTACAAGCCACGTTTCGTTGCAAACTTGCCAATTACGTTTCGTGCAAGTTCGAAAATTGAACGTCAATTTCGCAACAAAGTTCGCAAGTACATTTCAATATTTGAACTTCTAGTGTAAATAGATGTTCATAGTTCAAGTTGAAATTAGCAATACAACGAAAAGTTCTTGGTCCAGTGGTCTACGAAGAAGGTTTGTATTTCATTGAATTGGTTATCATTATTGAGTATGAACATTTGTTTACAAACGAAATTCAAACATTGAAACGCACTTAATTGGGAACTTTGTTGCGAAGTTTGCGTCCATGCAATTTCCGAACTTGCGGAAACGTAGTTGGCAAACGTAGTTCGCAACGAACTTGGGACCCGCGCGTTGAAAAGTGATTTGAAATCGACAATAATATTGTATTGTATCTAGTGTAACTACAGTTCTATATATAGTTAAAAATTCTGCATTTATGTTTTTTCAGTGACAGAGTGAGAAAAGATATGAGCGAATGGCATGAAAGTGGCCAATGGCCGTTGTCTTGTTACGCTCCGTTTGTAAATGAGCCGTGTTTTGATGGTATGAAAGCTTTCAAGAGGTTTAAAATAGCCTTGAAATCTTTTAAAAGGTTCAGTAGTTATTAGAAATTAGTTGTATTTTTCCTTCGAGGTCTCATGGATGTGTCTCCGGAAGAGATGAGAAGCGAAGCATACAAGGCGAACAGCGGTGGAAATGCAGCCAAATATGTGAGTCAAAGGCAAAGTATTTTTATAGCAACTTGGTTTTGGAGAAACGTGATTATGAGTTGTTTCAACTCTCGTGGTTAAACGAGAACAAGAGTTGCATGAGAGCAGACTGGATATTTCCGATCTCGTAGCGAAAACTCTCACAGCTATCATATTATTTTATTACATTTAGCCAAGTTTAATTTTTCTTTTTTTTAATTAAGGCGCAATCTCTTCAGCAAACTATGTTAAAATACAGACGTAGAAAAGAAGAATTAGCAACTATGTCGTCTTCACAATTGGTTGGTATAAACTGCGCATCTTATCTTTGAAACCAGAGTTCAGGCCAGGTGGTCTGATTATAATTTCACCTCAGTCACATGTGAGAAGAGTGTTTCCAGTTTGCCTTATGGATCGATAAGAGATGACCGTTACTGGATGTCTATAGGGAGGACAATTTAGACTAACTGATAGAGCTATCCAGTATAAATAGAGTTAGTTTAGTTTAGTTTTCCTCCTGTAGTAACACTGGATCAATAAGAGATGATCCTTACTGGACCTCTAGGAAGAACAGTTTAGAACTGATAGAGCTATCCAGTATAAATAAAGTTAATTTAGTTTAGGTTTCCTTTGTGTGGTAACACTGGATCAATAAGAGATGATCCTTACTGGACCTCCAGAGAGAACAGTTTAGAACCGCTAGAGCTATCCATTATAAATAAAGTTAGTTTAGTTTAGGTTTCCTCCTGTAGTAACACTGGATCAATACGAAATGACCCTTACAGGATCTCTAGGGAGAACAGTTTACAGCTGATAGAGTCGAGTTCTCGGAATTATTTTGAAAAGATAAGTATGAACATGTTTACCTATTGTATTTAGCAAGACGAGATATCAAGGTCATCTCAGCCGAGCAGCATGGTGCCTGGTGGGTTATTTGGTAACCTAGCCTCCTCTCCTCAGTCCCTTAGCGAGACTTCTTTATTTGGTGAGAGTAGTGAGAGTATGGCTACGTCATCAACTGGCTTGCTTGGATCTAGTCTACAAAGGTACGTTGAAATTGGGAGTTTGAACATACAGTAGTAGGAAGACTACTACATAGAATAAAAGAAATTAACATTATTTTCTAACTCTGATAACTGCAGTTGACCATTTCAAAGCCAGCTATATTAACATATATTAACAATCTTTCTAAATTGTTTCATTTCAGCATGCATACATCAGGACCATTTGCATCCTCCAATCCCACCACAACCCCATCTACCTTTTTTGGTTCCTCACCGAGTGCTTTTGGATTCACACAAGTCAATAATACCCCCTCAAGTACATCAATGTTCAGCGAAGACAATTCCTCTGGTGCCCAGACCTCGACTGATGGCGCTCGGTCAACTACAATGACGTCATTACGATGCAGTGAGGAGGACTTGAAGGCATTTAGGGCGGCACATTTTGTACTGGGTGCCGTACCTGAATGCCCGCCTCCATTAGAACTTTGTTGAGTGATCTCTATATGATAACTGTATATATATATATTTCTGAATAAATATATGAAAAGGGCATTTTTAACGTGGTGGTCCAGTGTCGTAAGTAGTATTCTGCAATAAGCTGTCGTGGTTTGTGTCTGAACTGCCTGAAAAAGATATCTCAAACGTGGTGGTCCAGTGTAGGTAGTATTCTATAATAAGCTGTCGTGGTTTGTGTCTGAACTACCTGAAAAGATATCTCAAGCGTGTTGGTCCAGTGTAAGTAGGTATTCTACAACAAGCTGCAGTGATTTGTGTCTGATCTACCCGAAAAATATTAAAAATACTCTGACGGTTAAGGTATTAAGTACAGTTCTGGCTCGTGAGACGATGCAGGTGAGAACGATAGAACAGCTTGCCATGTGACAACTTCGTGGGGTCCAGTTTAATTTGAAGCTCGAAGTTAAGTTTGTTAGCAAACAATCACGGTATGGCACTCAATACACCGGACGCCGCTGTTTTCCTTTAATGTAAACAGGATATTTCTTTACCAGCCTGCCTTGAGGATGTTAAGTTTAAGGAAGCGCATATTTCCTTAAACAGCTTTGGCCTCGGCTTTGGTAGCTTAACATACAATCAGTGGAAAGGCTAAGCGGTTTTAGAGTTGTAATGCGCGCAATCAGATCAATGTCATGAATCAGACCAATATAATTATGCACGCGTGGTGAAACGGGCCATGGAAACATTCGTATATAATTTGGAAGGCTTGAAAAACAGTGAAAGTATTTGAAATCCTTAAACTCATATTGAAAATTCCTTTCCTTGAAAATCCTGGAAAGTCCTTGAATTTGTTAAAAAAAATCCAGGCCTGGAAAATCCTTGGAAACTGATAAGGTCCTTGAAAGTCCTGGAATTTTTTTTCAGTAGGCTGGAAATAATTGAAGAATTATTACCAGCCCAAGGATTATTGCCCAAATGTTTATTTTCTCCAATTTCAATTAAAATTATGTATAACAATTGTCCAAAAGTTGTTTCGATGTCATTTTTTTTCTAATTGCATTCCTCTCCTTAAGTTTAAGGATAAAAGTTAGATGATTTTCAAAGATTTTTCCAGTTTTCCATGGCATCCAAGCCTTGAAACTTGTTACAAACGTAAACATGCAAACACGTTTAAATTAAATGCTCACGGTTGACTGTAGCTTGCAAACGGTAGTAAACAAATTGATATAAATAACAAATAATTAGAATCTTTAAACCAAACTTTAGGGTTCCGGAACCCTGAGTAATCGCCCTGAATTAATTAAGCATGCAAATAAGACCAAAAAGGAGAGCAGATTTTCAATTTCCGTGGTGATTCCCACTTTTCTCATTCCGGGTTTTACAGATTCCGGCTTTTTCCATTCCGGGTTTTGCAGATTCCAGTTCAGTGGTCGAAGTTTAGCTACAATCTTGGACATAACTGGTTGACACTATTTTTCCCTTATTGAAAATTCGCGTATTTTTGTGATAAACTCCATGTTGAATCATGTTGCCATTCTTAAACCCCAGCTCCCCCAACTCAATGTTGAGCTTGTATCATGGTATATTAGCAAAAGTTGTTTTGGCGTTGTTTACAACATTGTACTGGGGGGAGGGAGAGACAAAGTTTGTTTTGTCAATGTTCAAAACTTTGTAATATTAGTTGGAATGGTCTCAAGGGTTTCGTCCAAGATTGTAGCCTAAAAACAGAGCTACGTTTCGCCCGCCCTTTAGTAGCCTGCTAGCCCTTTAAGGCCCATAGAGACCGGACTCGATTTGGCAACGCGACGCGAATTTTCAGTTTTCAATGATATTTAACTTTAATATTTTGCAATGTTTTTCAAATATTCGGAACCACTTAAGGAATTTTAGCTATTTGGTCTGCACATCTTGTAAATTTTTTTCCCGTTGACGATTTTATTTGTTTTTGAAAACTGAAAATTCGCGTCGCGTTGTCGAATCGCGTCCGGTGTCCCAGCAGATTTGGACCCCTCAAAATGGACCTCCCGATCAAAATCTAGACTTGGATCAAGTCCGTCTCTCAAGAGTCAGAGGGATTGGACGAGCGAGGTGCAATAACGCGGGAAAGCTAAAATCCGCTAGCGAATATGGACCGGGGAGTCCATATCCGCTAGCGAATGTCCTCGACCCGCGAATTTTAGGGCGGGCGAAACGTGTCACACGTGGTTCATAGACCCACGTGGGTATTGTGACTATCGTCGTTCCCTGGTCGTATCGAAGAAGAACCGTACATATCGAGCATAATTTTTATGAAACTTTGTCGAAATAAAATAGTTATGCCATGCAAAGGGATAGGTTAGTATTAAATTTAGCTATTTTTAACGTTTATGCACTGTTCTTGTCAATTTCTAGCCGTGTTTTGAAACGTGCTGCAAATTCATTGAATTTTATACACTTCGCCACCCATTCAAGCGCTTCGTTTGCGCTTTAAAATAGTCGCTTTTTCCATTCGTATTTCTCCCAAATTTTCTTGCAATAATGTTCCGAAATACCCCCAGCTTTGATTGATATAACTCATATTTGTTTTATCTGCTGTTTCAGGACAACAATTGGACAGGAAAGTTAACAAAGTTTAGTGATAAGTCGCCGACCCGAAGCACGTGCACGTGGTAAGCGTCCATTATCACTTTTTTTTAACAAATTTTATTTGGATCGATACTCACAATTTTTAACAAACAAAAGAATATAAAAGAACAAATATTTATTAAGTTAGATAACCTAGATATCAAATGTAGATCCAAAAAGGTAAGCCGGGACCGGTCATAAAGTAATTACTAGAGGGAGGTGGAGGATAAGGCCATATAAAAAAAAATAGTTGGTTAGCGTCCTTAGCTTTTGCCAAAAAGTGGGCGGGCGGGCGCTTTTTTTTTAATTTTTACTAATTTTTAACGCCTTGGTTTTACTCACTGTTAGGTCCGAAACTGGATTTTCTTGCGCAGTACAGATATTTTTTTATATATTTCAAAAGATAATTCATACCGTCAATTTCGCACACAATTTTGCAAATTATTAACACAATTGACTACAGTCAACAGAAATACTACATATATTAGAGCCCGTTGATCAATAAAAGTCGGGCTTTTTAAAATAAAAAATTTTAAAAAAATCCTGAGCGGGGCCTTTTTTGTGGGCGGGCGGGGACGCTAACCAACTATTTTTTTTTTTATGTGGCCTAAATGAAATTTCAAGTACATATTTCCATACCCTCCCATCAAAAATCGCATATGAAAGAATATAAGCCCGAGGCTTATAGTCAGAGGTTTACGGTATGCCTTTGCAGGCTTCACCCACTTGGCTTATGTAGTTGTAAAGACTGTTCACATGGGCAATAGAATAAGAAAGTTAGGAAACTTTATGCAGACATAATGGACTTCATTATCTACATGTTTTTGTCTTGGTTTATGCAAGAAATGATCGGTTCATCGTCACGTGTGTATTGTATTTTTGCTAAAGTGACCAAAAGCTTACTGCCATTTGCATTCAAGCTTGAAGAGTGCAAAAATGTTCAGGTTTATTTACGTTTCAAACGTAACGTTTCAAAGGATATCACGCCCGTTTGGCCGATAAAATTGAATTATTTGAAAATATAAAAATATTGATTGTGGAAGAATATACTTTTATTCTTGTATTCTCGTGATTCTAAATACTATACAATCAATTATTACATTTTGTAGCTGAATTAATGTTAAATGTTACATGTTGTAAACAACTTAAAAAACGACTCATCTTATGAGTTCATTGGCGAAGTAATTTTAAAAATAAACGTTGTCTAAGCCGAGAAAATCAAAGTTTAAAGTTTATGTAAATCAACATGAATCTGTATCACATATACAGATACGACACGCTTATGATTTTTCTTTGTGTTTTCTTCATGAATTATTCATGAGTTTTTTAATAGGGATTTACAGCACAAAAATGTACAAACGTCATTGGAATTCAAACAAAACATGACATATTATGTAACGAATAATAACCGTTGCATGGTTCAAACGACTGGTTTTGTTGGTCAAAAGGGCGTGATTACCCCCTGGAACATTGCGTTTAAAACATAAACGTGAAAAAATTTGCACGCTTCAAGCTTGAACGCAAATGGAAGTAGTTATGTTTTCATTGTTTTCAACCATTGTGTAATATCACAACTGCATGGGTAATTAAACCAATTAATGCTATTATTGGTTGGTTGGGCAAGAAAACATGACCGGCTAAACAGAGAGTTATGAAGTGGAGAGTTACTGTATCTCGGAGAGTTATGTTCAAACCACACCCACTTTTCCCAATGACCACACCCAATTTCTTAACTCTCCCAACGTTTCCTTGAACTAACATGAGAGAGTTATGTTTCACACAACTTTCTATCTCTCGTTAACATTATGAAAATGTTAGAGAGTTGTCATTTTTATAACTCTCCGCGTTCATGATTGCATCATGTGGCAATGAAGTCAGGGTTAAGTCAGTTTTTTGAGAAAACCTTCCACATATTAGTACATTTTACTAAATTTACAAGTGTCAACATTTTACGCTAGTAGAAACTAATAGTACTTTTGTACTTACCAAGTTCATCTACAGTATATGTATGTAAATGTTTATATAAATATACATGCTCACTTGGATTATCTAGCAAGACCAGCATTCAGATACATATTAGATAGAACAAGAAGATCTTAATCCAATGTAATGCCCTATTGGCTGATCCGGGAAAGTATTTCCATTAGGCCTGAATTGCTGAAAGATTTCTTAATTTTCTTGCAACTTATTCTTGCCGTATTTACTGCCAAATACATGTCAAAACATGCTTCTGGGGGTACTAGTTGACTGAGTCAAGTTGCATTTCCTGTTTGGACGCATTCTATTGACACGCTACAAACTGAAATACCAAAAAATAAGATGAAAATCTGAAGAAACAAGCTTTACTAACTAAGGTTTTCTTAAAAAAACTGACTTAATTAACTCTATTCATTGCCATAATCGTGAACACGGAGAAAATGATAACTCTCTAACATCTTCATAAGTTAACGAGAGAGAGTTGCGTCAAACATAACTCTTGTATGTTAGTTCAGGAAACGTTGGGAGAGTTAAAAAATTGGGTGTGGTTGTTGAGAAAAGTGGGCGTGGTTTGAACATAACTCTGAAATCATAACTCTCCAGTTGGTAACTCTCCCTTAAGTCATACCCCAAGAAAACAATAGAGAGTTTAAGTTCGACTTCCAGTACCGATACTGATGTCTTCACTTCCGTTCTCATAAAGCGTAATAAGCTATGACACGACTGATAAAGTATATAACACATTAATCGTCACCGAAAAAATGACTCGGACAATGCCAATAAACAAATAGTTTACGTGTTTATTGTAAAAATTATGAAATATTCAATTTATTTGAGTTTATCTTACAATTCCCACGACTTCCAATACAATTAGGCCGAATTCGATAGTGGTGACTTCCAATACACTTGTCCTTGTGCTTCTTGTGAGCAGAGCACATGACATGTTGGTATTGGAAGTCGAACTTAAACTCTCTAATACACATGTGAGCATGAGCCAACCATTTTTTGCAAAAACCAAGACAAAAACATAGATCATGTATGAGGTCTATTATGTCTGTATCGAAACATAACCTTGACTATGATCACATGGGGGCCAATGATGGGCCTTTTAACCATGCATGGTTAATGGAAGCAAGGGATGATTTAAAAAAAAATTATCAACACAAGCAAAAAATTTTGAGAAAAAATAATTGCACAGGTTGGAAATGCCCGCCCCCCCCCACATCACTTTTCTAATGGTCTTTCCCTTAGTTGACTATGTCACCATCAAGGGGGGGTCCCTAATTGGATGGACAGTTGATATACATATAGTAAGCTACTTCTTAGAATATTTAGGGGTGCACCGGAACTCAGTTCCGGCTGGAACATCGATTTTTTAGAGTTCCGGTTCCGGCTGGAACTAGTAAAAAAGCATGGCCGGAACCAGAACTCTGTTGTTTTCAGAGAGATAGAATATCAAACGTTTTTGTGTCTAACAAAAGGTCACAGTAGGTAGAAATTTGGACTATGCAAGGGAAATGTACACTAGCACTTCATTATGGCGTTTAACGCTTGTCAATCTTATTATTCTAACATTTGCAAGCTCTCTCCTTGATGACTTGAAGTGTATGCAGCGGATAAAGTAACATATGACTATATATGGCTTAATAAATTAGTTCCGGTTCCGGCCAGAACTTTCTTCCAGTTCCGGTCGGATCCGGTTCCAGCCGGAACTTAAAAAACTGGTTCTGGTGCACCCCTAAGAATAGTTATATTAATTTGCAGGCAAATACAAGACTATCGGTACTGCATATAATGAAAATAAGTATTTTATCACTATGATAATTCTCGGTTGAAGCCATGTAATTAAATACTTCTTATTACCTCCAATTTAGATTCTCGCTGGTCATGACAGTTGTATCCGAAAGAAAGTGGGGCTATGGATGCTGGTCGAGTTCTAAACAGGGACCATCATGAGGACGTCCAAATGCACAAAACTAATTTCGTATGTGGCATCTTTAATATAATTTCACTTTTTTTTTTGAGAAGAATTTTCACCAAAATTTTAACAGTGAAGCTTAGTGGTGGCTGTGGATACTTTTGGTATATTATGTACTTTAATGGATTATAATGAACATTTATGGATTACTAAGGATATTTATTACCATGAACATGTCCGGACATATGTACCTCTATATCAACGGTTACCCACAGACATCGATGTACCTCGATAATGGAGCTGCACTATGGTTAAAGTGAGGTCTACCTTAAGGTACAGATTTTCATTGTTAGCCTGCTATTGGGCAGTAGTTAGCCTGCTATTAGGCAATAGTTAGCCTGCTATCAGGCAATAGTTAGCCTGCTATCAGGCAATAGTTACCCTGCTATCAGGCCGTAGTTAGCCTGTTATCAGGTAATGGTTAGCCTGCTATCAGGCAGCACCTGTATTTCGGTATTGAATTTGTACCCATGACTCTAGTTTGCATGTGTGCGGTGAAGTCTCTGGGTAGGCTAAAAAATGTAGTACATTTTCACACATTTTTTCCGATGCTTGCATGGTTACAAAACCGTTGACGTAACCTTGACTGTGACATGCCACATACTGTTGTGATTTTTGGCGCTTATGTTGAAACACGATTGCTATGAGTTTACAAATTTATACTGCAACGGTATCTCATCTCATTGTGAAAACCCCAGCATATGCATGAACAAACTATATCCAATTTTCGCCACTTTTTTTCATTTTTGAAAAAGCAACAAAAAATAATGCCGTTCTTAGCCACTTATTACATTTTTTATTAGCCTTACTGTTTCGTCCATTTTTAGCCACTTTTTTTCATTTTTTAAAAACAGGCAAAAAGTGGCAAAAAAGTAAGGTCATAGCCCTCAACTTTTCGTCGAATTTTAGCCACTTTTTTTTCGAAAAAGAGGCAAAAAAACAGCAAAAAAGTAAAGGCTATAGCCTTTACATTTCGTCCATTTTTGGTCCATTTTTGGCGACTTTTTCCATTTTTCATCAATGGCCAAAAAACAGCAAAAAAGTAAGGCTATAGGCTTAACTTTTCGTCCATTTTTAGCGACTTTTTCCATTTTTCATAAGTGGCCAAAAAAACAGCAAAAAAGTAAGGCTATTATAGCCTTAACTTTTCGTCCATTTTTAGCGACTTTTTCCATTTTTCATAAGTGGCCAAAAAACAGCAAAAAAGTAAGGCTATAGCCTTAACTTTTCATCCATTTTTAGCGACTTTTTCCATTTTTCATAAGTGGCCAAAAAACAGCAAAAAAGTAAGGCTATAGGCTTAACATTTCGTCCATTTTTAGCGACTTTTTCCATTTTTCATAAGTGGCCAAAAAACAGCAAAAAAGTAAGGCTATAGGCTTAACTTTTCGTCCATTTTTAGCGCCTTTTTCATTTTTCATAAGTGGCCAAAAAACAGCAAAAAAGTAAGGCTGTAGCCTTAACATTTCGTCCATTTTTAGCGACTTTTTCCATTTTTCATAAGTGGCCAAAAAACAGCAAAAAAGTAAGGCTATAGGCTTAACTTTTCGTCCATTTTTAGCGACTTTTTCCATTTTTCATAAGTGGCCAAAAAACAGCAAAAAAGTAAGGCTATAGGCTTAACTTTTCGTCCATTTTTAGCGACTTTTTCCATTTTTCATAAGTGGCCAAAAAAACCAGCAAAAAAGTAAGGCTATAGGCTTAACTTTTCGTCCATTTTTAGCGACTTTTTCCATTTTTCATAAGTGGCCAAAAAACAGCAAAAAAGTAAGGCTATAGGCTTAACTTTTCGTCCATTTTTAGCGACTTTTTCCATTTTTCATAAGTGGCCAAAAAACAGCAAAAAAGTAAGGCTATAGGCTTAACTTTTCGTCCATTTTTAGCGACTTTTTCCATTTTTCATAAGTGGCCAAAAAACAGCAAAAAAGTAAGGCTATAGGCTTAACTTTTCGTCCATTTTTAGCGACTTTTTCCATTTTTCATAAGTGGCCAAAAAACAGCAAAAAAGTAAGGCTATAGGCTTAACTTTTCATCCATTTTAAGCGACTTTTTACATTTTTCATAAGTGGCCAAAAAACAGCAAAAAATAAGGCTATATTAACTTTTCGTCCATTTTTAGCAACTTTTTCCAGTTTTCATAAGTGGCCAAAAAACAGCAAAAAAGTAAGGCTATAGGCTTAACTTTTCGTCCATTTTTAGCAACTTTTTCTATTTTTCATAAGTGGCCAAAAAACAGCAAAAAAGTAGGGCTATAGCCTTAACGTTTCGTCTATTTTTAGCGACTTTTCCATTTTTGATAAATGGCCAAAAAAACAGCAAAAAGGTAAGGCTATAGCCTTAACTTTTCGTCCATTTTTAGCGACTTTTTGAATTTTTCATAAGTGACTAAAAAACAGCAAAAAAGTAAGGCTATTGCCTTAACGTTTCATCCATTTTTAGCGAATTTTTCCATTTTTCATAGGTGGCCAAAAAACAGCAAAAAAGTGAGGCTATTGCCTTAACTTTTCATCCATTTTTAGCGACTTTCTCCATTTTTCATAAGTGGCCAAAAAACAGCAAAAAAGTAGGGCTATAGCCTTAACTTTTCGTCCATTTTTAGCGACTTTTCCATTTTTGATAAATGGCAAAAAAAACCAGCAAAAAAGTGAGGCTATAGCCTTAACTTTTCGTCCATTTTTAGTGACTTTTTCCATTTTTCATAAGTGGCCAAAAAACAGCAAAAAAGTGAGCCTATAGCCTTAACTTTTCGTCCATTTTTAGCGACTTTTTCCATTTTTCATAGGTGGGCAAAAAACAGCAAAAAAGTGAGCCTATAGCCTTAACTTTTCGTCCATTTTTCGGGACTTTTTCCATTTTTCATAAGTGGGCAAAAAACAGCAAAAAAGTAGGGCTATAGCCTTAACTTTTCGTCCATTTTTAGCGACTTTTTCCATTTTTCATAAGTGACTAAAAAACAGCAAAAAAGTAGGGCAATAGCCTTAACTTTTCGTTCATTTTTAGCGACTTTTTCCATGTTTCATAAGTGGGCAAAAAACAGCAAAAAAGTAGGGCTATAGCGTTAACTTTTCGTCCATTTTTAGCGACTTTTTCCATTTTTGATAAATGGCAAAAAAACCCAGCAAAAAGGTGAGGCTATAGCCTTAACTTTTCGTCCATTTTTAGTGACTTTTTCCATTTTTCATAAGTGGCCAAAAAACAGCAAAAAAGTGAGCCTATAGCCTTAACTTTTCGTCCATTTTTAGCGACTTTTTCCATTTTTCAAAAGTGGGCAAAAAACAGCAAAAAAGTGAGCCTATAGCCTTAACGTTTCGTCCATTTTTAGCGACTTTTTCAATTTTTCATAAGTGACTAAAAAACAGCAAAAAAGTAAGGCTATTGCCTTAACTTTTCGTCCATTTTTAGCGAATTTTTCCATTTTTCATAGGTGGCCAAAAAACAGCAAAAAAGTGAGGCTATTGCCTTAACTTTTCATCCATTTTTAGCGACTTTTCCATTTTTTATAAGTGGCCAAAAAAAACAGCAAAAAAGTAAGGCTATAGCCTTAACTTTTCGTCCATTTTTAGCGACTTTTTCCATTTTTCATAAATGGGAAAAAAAACAGCAGAAAAGTAGGGCTATAGCCTTAACTTTTCGTCCATTTTTAGTGACTTTTTCCATTTTTCATAAGTGGGCAAAAAACAGCAAAAAAGTGAGCCTATAGCCTGGACTTTTCGACCATTTTTAGCGACTTTTTCCATTTTTCATAAATGGGCAAAAAAGAGGAAAAAAGTAGGGCTATAGCCTTAACTTTTCGCCCATTTTTAGCGACTTTTTCCATTTTTCATAAGTGGGCAAACAACAGTAAAAAGTGAGCCTATAGGCTTAACTTTTTGTTCATTTTTAGCGACTTTTTCCATTTTTCGTAAAGGGACAAAAAACAGCAGAAAGGTTAGATGCTGTTCTTGTTTGCCTGCGAACAGGTTGTAGATATGTAGATACTGGTACCCAAGCTATTGTTTGTTTTGTTGTTCTGGGTAGAATGAAATCCGGCATAAATCCTGGGGGTCTAAATGTTCAGTATATTTAGACATTCGATCTATTTTCTGTTAAGTAGACTTTGATAGCTTGAACGAAAGTTTATAACAATGATTTTCTTTTCAAAAACTGTACTTTCGGAATTCGTCAGTTTCTGAATTTGAAAACCGATCACACGCATTACAAGTGCAGCAACGCAACAGTTTAGACAGGGTCATGAGGCAGGATGTGTGCAAGAAAAGCTTTGCCAGAGTTTTGTCTTTCGAAATAAACGATTGGAAATTGCTGTTTGATTCTTTGTAATATCTTATCGCTTGTTAGTAAAAAAGAAATTTGTCACTTTCCTCATCTTCTAAACCTTTTTTAAAAAAAACTGGGATCGTTTTTCTTGGGGTTAGGGGGTACAAATGGTACCCATAGCTTAGAGGGTGCAAATGGTACCCGTAAGAAGACTTGGTGGAAATCATGTTGGTCGTTTGGATCGGCGAGAATAAGAGAATTATGGTGGCAAAGTTTTTTCAAACATTTTCTCTCCCGTAGTAAGGTAAAGCATGTATTTTCCTGGTAGCCGGTCTTACTTCATGAAAAAACAGTCTGCTACCAGTGACTAGGTCCCCTCTCTTATGGCGGTCATTGCGGCTCAATGTGTTCAATGGAACACAAAGGTATTCAGGCATGTAGAGGTATTCCTTTTCAGGGCGGTTGCATGCGGATAAGATGGTCCGCCGCGTGCGCAAAATAGTTAGGGAGATAGACAGTTTAGAAGCGCAATGAACACGCACGAAACGTAAAAATAAAATGGCTTAACAAAATTGCGAAAAAACAAAAAATGACAACTTTGCCATTTTGAGCGTGCGCAATAAGGCGTGCGCATGGACAAAGTTTTCTCACTCTTGGTTTTAACATAAATAATAAAAAGAAGTGTCCGTGGTTGGAGCTGAATAGTACTGTGGAAGATTGGGTTGGAAAATTTACAATTAAGATCTGTATTTTTGGACAATTATTATTCTTTGAAAAATATTATCCTGCTGATGTAAAATAACATGTAAAGGGTTTGGCAACAATGATGTCCAAAGAGGATGTTAGCCCCAAAGTTTATTTCATAAAATTATTTATCTTTGAAAATACTGAATTACAAGACAGTTTAAAAAAATTTCGAGTAAAAAGTTTAATAATAATTGGATTGATAAGACCATTTCCACTCAAGAAAATTTGGGGCTAATATTAGGCTTAATGCATATGTCGTTCTTTGTCTTTCATTTAAAGGAAAAATACCAAACTCTCTTAACGTCTTTGTTGCCAGCAGTTCTGTAACTTTCATGAAAAAATCAAAGTCTTGAGGTTTTGTTTTACTTATATAACTAACATGTTTTTTGGTTTTCAACAAAGTTAATAATGGTCTAGAAATACGGATTTATATTGCACAAGTTTCTTCTGTAACTGCACAATTATTGCAAAATTGTGCGATTATCACACTATTAAAATTAGTAAGGTCTGTGAACATTGGCACAACTGCTTGTTCCCATGCATAAATTTTTAACTAATTTTTGGGATTGGATTTATTCAAATTTGAGACGATTTTGAACACATATTGGTACCAATGTTACTCATTGTTACTCAATGTTACTCAATGTTACTCATTGTTCTAGTTTTTATAGCTTTTATTGTTTTAACAGTCGAAATATATGTTGATTTTGTTGAATTATTTGTTAATTATTCGTTGATTTTATGCATGATGAAACCCGAAATTTATAGTTTGATGGTCACAACAAATTTGAGCATATAAAAAAGTTAAAATTGTACACCAAAACACTAGCTGTAATATTTGAACTCGCTAGAACACAACTAGTTTTAAATACGTTTGAATTGAATTTCATACATGCAGTATTTCAAATGTTGTGATTGATTATCTGTTTCAAAACGTTTGAAATCATGCATACGCTATTTCAATATTAAGGTTGTCCAAGAGCAAAGCGGAAAAGTCGAATACGAGCGCGAAAGGCTGCTGGGAATCACTAACAACTGAGTCGTCAGTCAGGAACCTTGTCAGCCTTTCGCGCTGGTATTCGACTTTTCCGCTTTGCTCGTGGACAACCTTATTATTGAAATAGCTGTATGCATGATTTCAAAAGTTTTGAAACAGATAATCAATCACAACATTTGAAATACTGCATGTATGAAATTCAATTCAAACGTATTTAAAACTAGTTGTGTTCTAGTGAGTTCACATATTACAGCTAGTGTTTTGGTGTACAATTTTAACTTTTTTATATGCTCAAATTTGTTGTGATCATCAAACTATAAATTTCGGGTTTCATCATGCATAAAATGAACGAATAATTAACAAATAATTCAACAAAATCAACATATATTTCGACTGTTAAAATAATAAAAGCTATAAAAACTAGAACAATGTATAAACGAACAATATTTTACTCATAGAATGAGTAACATTGGTACCAATATGTGTTCAAAATCATCTCAAATTTGAATAAATCCAATCCCAAAAATTAGTTAAAAATTTATGCATGGGAACAAGCAGTTGTGCCAATGTTCACAGACAATTCACAGTACTATTTGGTTTGTGGGTTCAAATCCCAAAACACTTAATTTTTATTTATATAAAAAAAAAAGGATCGGATGGATCCAAAGGATCCGATGGATAAATAGATATCCATCGGATCCATTGGATCCATCCGATCCATTGGATCCTTTTAAACAAAGGATCTATTTATCCATCGGATCCTTTGGATCCATCGCATCCATTGGATCCATCCGATCCATTGGATCCTTTTAAACAAAGGATCTATTTATCCATCGGATCCATTGGATCCATCCGATCCATTGGATCCTTTTAATCAAAGGAT